ATTGCGAACCGAGTTGTGTGCTACCAGCTACATGTAGCCCTCGATTCGAATGGTTCGTTACAATCTGTATCACAAATTTTGAGTTCAGCAATAAAGGTCTTCAGGTACCAGTCCTCGAACATTTATGCAAGACGAGCAGGAAGTTATCACCAACAGCCTCCCCAAGGACGTCTTTCCCCGTCTGGCCAACCATTCTCCACTCACAGCTTTTAAAAAAAGGGCGTCAACAAACACATCTCAGAGCAGCCATGGTCTTGACACTTGGGACGTGCTTTGAAGCCCATCATGTTGATCGTCTCACTGTTCTTTCCAGATCGCACCTCTCGGTTTGGGGATGTGCATTGAAGCACCCCATAGGAGGGGGGGGGGGGATTAGACAAGGGAAGTAGCCATGTAGGGGCGTGAGCCCGCCTTTCGGCACTGGGAGTTGCAGCTCGCTCCACTCCACTCTCCACTCTACTGAGTGAAGAGGACTCACACCTACTGGATTGTGTGGTTAACGTGAGGCTCCCTGGGGAGCTGACCATTTACCATGACGTCCAGGTACTGCGCTTGTTCCACAACTGCAAGGGCTGCATGCGACGTATTCCGAGCAATTTCCGCCCACAACTACTAGTCAGTGGTAGGTCTACGCGTTGAAGCCGCTCACTCAGGTAACTAGTGAACCATAGCTGGACAGTACCGCCCACCCCAATGTCGGATAGCTCCAGTGCCAAGATGGTGTGTTTGACACAGTCGAAAGCCTTCGACATATCCACGAATATCACACCTGTGAGTTTGGGTACTGTGGTTCTTCCTGTACGCGAACTGCGAGTCAGGGAGAATGCTGTGATCGGTCAGAAAGGATGTGAGCTGAGCTTTGACGATCTTCACGAGGAGACGAGAAACGACTGGTAGCAGAGAATTATTATATTCATCATGTTTATAGGTCGATACGCAGTAGGCTGACAAGGATCATGACTGAGCGAGGGAGCCAGTATTGGTGCCGAGTTTCTAAGGACAATACCCGGCATGGCATGCGGGCAGGTCATAATGTCCAGTCGCTTTTGGCGGGTCAATGGACTGGAGAACTGAGGGCCGTAACGTCCTCCGTCGAAAAAGGCGCAAATTCCGTGAATGCTGACTTCAGTGAAGACGCAATCTACTCGTAAGAAGCTGAGTGGAGAGAAGTAGCAGGACAACACAACAATGGGAAGAGTAGGGGGTCCAAGATCATGTGGAAGCTGTGCTGGCGAGGCAAGCCAACAACGCCGACTTGTTGTCATCATACCATGATGAGAGTGGGAGAGGAGAGAAGACAAAATGGAGAGGGGATTATTGTGAAGCTGAGAGCGACAACAGAATGGAGAGGTGACTATAGGGCTTGAAAGTGCTACGTCACAGCATAGCAACAATTTCAAAAATTCAAAAATTGGATCCACTTGGATCCAGTTTTTGTATGGATCCAAGCACATTTCAAGCCGTCTTACTCTCAGCAAGGTGATGTAACCAGTGAAACTGACTGATTTGGCTACTGGGGGCGGGGTTACAGCTGGTGGCGAAATAAAAGTCACACCTGCATGCGACATGAGTGGGTTGCTATGCACCCACATACTTAGGCAATAGCAAAGTCACAGGCTTAGTGGATCCAAAAATAGAAATCTGATGTCAACTTACTACTCCCTGGCCGTTTTGACGTCATCACTTTCAAGCCCTATACAGGCTATAGTCCTTATGCACATTGTACAGATGTACGAAGTTCTGTACTGTCTAGGGCCGTAGGTGTGTACATACCCGGTTGGGTGTTCATTGTGTGCTATACATGCGCGTTTGACCCATTTAGGCTGTGTTTACATGAGAAGTTTCAACCCGGGTCGAGTTCAGCCCGGGTTGAAAGTCTGTACGACAGACAAAAGAGGCGAGCGTTTACATGAACACAGTTGACCAGGGTCAAATACTGATATGCCGCCAAAAGTCCACTTCTACAGTCCTGTATGGTCACGTGAATCCGTTCGCGCGAAATTTGCATCTGCAGTGCTGTTCAAACCTGGCGCGAGATACGCACAGAAGTACATTTGTACGATTTTCTTGACCCGGGTTGATTTCAACCCTCCCCTTGGGGGGAGGGTTGAAATCAACCCGGGGCGAAATTTCAACCCGGGTCAAGCGCAATGCGTCATGTAAACGCGCCATTCACTTAAGGTACTAGTACTCCTTTGTAGGGTCAAAAATCGAAGTTTAGAAATCGGCTTTTTTGACTCTTTCAGTGGACGCACAAGGCCCTGAACCTGTGGAATCCAAAATTTGAGGCGAATCGGCACAGTCTTTGCAGAGTTACAGGCCAGTGAAGTGCGTGGGTATGTACGATGTACGCACTGCAGCGTGACCATGCTAGCTGTCAGAAGAGCAAAAATGAGTACTCATGCCACGTGGCAAAAATTCAAATATTCGTTACCATGACTGCACAAAATGGCGACCCAGCGTAAAAACTGGGTTCCCTTGCGCTTTTTGCATCACAAACAGCAACTATTCTGCACTCGCTGATCGAGCTTGAAGATGGGAAACAAAAAAATGGAAAGGTAGATACTACGTTGCCAAAAAGAAGAAATATTATGGAAAGAAGCCTGAAACAGCTCCCGATCCTAACCCTGTTCCTGTGGAAGCGGAGCCAGAAGATATTGGACGTAGCTCTTCATTTGCAAAGCTCGTCGGCTGCAAACCCTGGTGGGAGCAGGAGACATCAGACAGCGATGGCGATGTTGGAACGGAGTCTGATACCTCACTGACCTCGAACCCAGACACGAGTGACAGCAGTGATGACAGTGATTGTTTCGAGGCTGATGAGCCCCATACTGGTGCGGGAAACGTATTTTCGACTTGGAGCAGCTGCAGGAGATTCTGCTGAAATGTGTGTGCAGTTTGTAAAGTTGGCGGTATCATTTTGGAAAAGGAGAGACAGCAAGGCTTAGGATCACACATGGTCATATCCTGTTCATCAGAATCATGTCCTGGTGCTAATGTCAAGTTTTCATCGTCCATAAGAACAAGATTTTTTGACGTCAACCGATGCTCCGTTTTAGCTGCCAGGCCCATTGGCCGAGGACACTCTGGTCTCCAGAAATTCTGTGCCATTATGGACCTCCCCAAGCCTGTCAACAAGACGAACTTCCAGAAACACCAACAAGCTGCAATTGAGGCTGCACACACGGTTGGCGAGAAAAGCCGCAACTACGCTGCCCAGCAGCTGTTAGCAGAAAATCCCGAAGCCAGAGGCCATCTACAAGTTGCTGGTGCCTGTTTACCGAAGACTGGCAGACCAGGCACTTCTGAAACGGTGCTTGCTTGGTGCCACACAAAATGCCAAAGAAGCATTCAATGGTGTCGTGTGGCGCATGTGCCCGAAGGAAGTCAATGCAGGTCGCTGTTTGGTGGAGCTCGCTGCAAATCTTGCTACATGCACTTTCAATGATGGTGCCATGAGCCCTTGTCAAGTTCTTAAGAGAAATGTCGTGTTCTGTTGGCCATAACACCATCAAGGCACTGAAGAAGGAGGATACGGACCGCATTGCACATGCCGAAGTGGCCAGTTCAGCATTGCAAAAAAGCACAAGAAAGAAGAGGAGAAGAAAGAAAAAGGGCTGGGAAGAGCAAAGAACAGAGCAAGAAGGTGTCACATATGAGGCTGGTGGATTTTAGCTTGGTTTGGTGAGGTTTTGTTGCTGACATTACAGCTTATGCCTGCATTTTTGTCTGTTTTGGACCCCTTTTTTTCACTGTTTTTAGCCTACTGCGAGTGTGTTTTCTGAAGTTTTCTCTTGGATAAAGTGTCTGGACACCCCCCAAAGTATACATTTTTGGAAAGGTGATGCCCAGGCCTAGGGCACCTGGGTGTTTTCAAGAGCAACACTTTAACTAGAACTATCTTTGCCCTCTCTCAAATGTTGCAACACGGTCGCGTATTATATACGTTGTTTTATAAGGTGTATTGTGCGTCCTTTGTTCCTTTGGATGGACTTCTGCTGACCCAGGTGCCCTTCCCCAGACCTAGATGGTTTGGATCCAACAAATTTGGACCCATCAAATAGTCTTTTCCTGGACATTTTTTTAAGAAAATGTGTAGCCCGTCATATCGACAGAATGTGTACATTCTGATTTACATTTTCCAAGGATCTCGCAAAGCATGACAATATATTTTCTGCTGCTGCAATCACTACCCTTTCATCTGTGTGTGGAGAAAATTTGGAGTGATTTGCTTGTGTGGGACCAAAGTAATGCCTCTTCTTGTGCGGTCGGCCCAGATACAGCCGCGAAAAGAGTACTAGTACCTTAAGTCTTTGTGCACATGGCGGGTTGAAATCTGACCCGGGTCGAACTCAACCCGGGCTGAAACGCTTCATGTAAACACAGCCTTAGCCTCACAATTCATGGCAAACGACCACTTTTCAAGCCTTCTTCACTTTGGGATTGAACTAACGACTAGCTAGACCTCTGCCGGAAAAAGATTTCGTATGAAATGCCTTCATGGCCCATTTTATAGTGGAAATAGCAGTAAACACAATAGGGTCCTGCACATTCAACACCCAACCGGGTCTACGGGATTCCACAAGATTATACGGGATTTCGTGCATCTGTACAATGACAGTGTGCATAAGGCCTATTGTGAAAGGTGTGGATGTGTGGAGACTGAGTCAGTGGAGAGTAGGACTACGGAAGAAGATGCATGCATGATCAGGGCTGGAACGATATGCATGCATGGCGCGAAAAGCTAAAAAAAACTCGTTTTTGCAGCTGTACTGACTGTAGCTGTAGCTAGCTAGCTCTAACAGTACCGGTATGCAGGTACCGGTATGCAGTAGTAACTAGTATTTTGTGTAGAATCTACATGTAGCTAGCTCGGCGCGCGCCCCGCGATATCGATAGCGTAGCGCATGCATGCGCCCGGCGTTGCCGGTCGCATGCCCGGGCGGCCTTTCTTTTTCAAAATTTCAAAATGTGATTTTTATGCAAAATACCATTATTTT